TCAAACGAACGTATTCACTTCTCTGGACAGACTTCCAGATAAAACTACCTGGATAGAGATATCTGGTTTAAAGATAGACACGCTACCAAGGTACGCGTTCTTTAGATTTGGGAATAGTTTGAGGACCTTGGATTTGGTCGACTGTGGCATCACTACGATCGAAGATGGAGCTTTTGCAGGTTTGCATAAGCTGCAACGACTGTCCTTAGTTGGTAATAGGTTACCAGTTCTGAGTGTCAATTGGTTTCGAGACCTCGTCAGTCTTCAACAATTAATTTTGGAACGAAATGGCATAGAGAAGATTGAAAGAACCGCATTGTGGCACGTTGGAGATTCTTTGCGACATCTCGATATTCAAGATAACCTGCTTCGATGCATAACCACCGAGGAACTGGCTGAATTGACAAAGTTAGAGAGGCTAGACGCAATGAAAAATCCATGGCTTTGTACTTGCAGAACAAATCTACAAAACTTCCTTACCCAGAGAAACGTAGGATTCGAAATTAATGCAGGCCGGTGTTATCAGAGTGAGAATGAAATTCCAGATGGCAGAACTGGCTGGCACGAGCAACAGGTAATACGCTAATCATTTTTTCAACCTGTTTAATTTAAAATGCTTATCTCAGAAAACAAGGACAACATTCGTTTAAAATTTTTACAAAAAGGTCATTGAGAAAAAGTTAATTTTTGTCAAGTCTAAGTGCAAGACAATAATCACTATATCTTCAAAAGATTTTTCAAAAAATGAACCTGATAAAAAGTATCAACTTTTCAATGTTTTGATTAAGAATAACCATTATCAGCGATGAAAGGAATTTTATTTCGTTTACCTTTACTTATTTTGATATCTGGTAGCAGTAACCAAGTAAATTTTAATCTCTTGCAATCGGTACTGGTAACCAAAGTTATTTAATCTATGATGTACTATAACTTTAGTTTGAATTATAACTGGACTGCACTTTCCTATGTATTTATATAAAACTTTAAGATGCAGAAATTATATAAGATTTCTCATAAGTAAAAATAACTTCTACAGAATTTTATTGCTTTACTTGTATCCACAAAAATATAAAGGTGCATAAATACCCATAGTCTAATTATAAGATTATGATCTCTGGTCGATCTCGATCGAGTAAAAATAATTATCTTCTTTTATGTGTAGACCATTCAAAATACTTCTTTTACCACTGGAAAAGTGCAATGGACTTCTTTCGAAAACAGCCTCAATCAAACGAACATTTCCGTAATTGGGACACCTCCTCCACCTTTTGTAACTCCTTCACCACCAGAAGTTCACATCGTTTCCTCTTCACCAACTATTTATACGGGTGCTTGTAATCCAGAGAAAACCAGCAGCAATACAGTCTACACTTGTCGAGCCATTACATCAATCGAGGAACTAAATCTGATACCTTCAACAGCTCGCGAGATTCGAATTATCTTATCGAACATCAAGAAGATTCCCGAGAACACTTTTGCGCGCTTTAACGGTTACCTATCGAAGTTAGAGCTTCGAGACTGTGGTATCGAAAGTATCAAGCCGCGCGCCTTTTCAAATCTTCGTAACTTGGAACACTTGTCCCTTCGAAGCAACCAACTAGAGTCCATAAATTGGGATATGGTCCAAGGTCTTCACAACCTAAAACATCTAGACGTATCTCACAACAATATATATAGAATTACGAACGATGTGTTCGATCATTTACCGTACCTTATTAGTTTAGACGTGTCTGATAACGCCATGAACTGCATCGGTATAGAGTATATGGCCCATCAATTACGCTACTTATCGTCTTTGGATGTTTCTAATAACCCTTGGAGTTGCCTGTGTGGGACCAAATTAGCAGAATTTCTCGACTCACGAGGCATACAGTATAATAGAAGTTCACTCCTTTTGAAGGAAGATTGTTACGCTTCTCCGGTACCGGAAGTTACTCATAGCCCGTCAATTTCAGTGACAACTAGTCCAACGGCTAGGAACGAAACTATAGAAGGAACCTGCATTATCATGGAAGATACAACCAGGATTCGTTATCGATGTACGGGTGGTAATCTGTTGTTGCTACAATCAATAAGACAGGATGCAACATCGATTGAATTTTATGAGGGTCACCTACCTAGGCTACCTGCAGAGTCGCTCAGGAGATTTGTAAATCTACAAGAACTTATTATTAGAAATTCCGAGTTAACCACTGTAGAAGAAGGCGCATTTAATGGTTTGAATAAATTAGAGAATTTGACGATACAGGACAATCCTCTGGAAATGGTTGGATCTTCCTGGTTTGCATTCCCGAACTTGGGAAGATTAGATTTGCGTGGTAATTCCATCAAGTATATCGAACCTGGATCGTTTCGATATTTAAAAAATTTAACATATTTAAATCTCGAGGGTAATGACTTAAGATGCATATTTACTAGTGACTTAAACGATATGCCTAATGTTTATATCGTTGAATTTTCTGGGAATCCTCTGAAATGGAGATGTAGAGTCGAATTGGAGCAATTCTTAGAGGCTCGAAAGATTAGGTTTATCAAAATCGAGAATTCCTGCGAGGGTAAGACATTGGTGAGAAATCTTTTACTGGTAAATAAGACGGATGGATCGTTTGATTGTCCATCAGAGTGTTCGAAAGCTTCCATTAGTCGAAATTTGTTCGTTCTATTTATACTACCATCGCTGATAACACTAGCCTATTAAGTGACGTTAAATTCGATACCTAACTATGGTACAATGATATGTGTTCATTTATTGCAAAACGCATTTTGCACACCTGTTCGAATAATTAATAGAGACTAAATGTTTATACGTGTTAACAGAGATTTCCTTTCTGGTGATAGTATTACCTTCGTCGGTGAATTCATTTTAAGGCACGTCGAGTTTGCAACTTCTGTTTATAACTAGACTGCGAATCGTGTATTTGTGCAAAATTTAAAGATGCAAAAATGCATAGAATTCGTACAATATACAAGAATGTATGCAGCACCCAGAATAGAGCATTTCTTATGATTTCTAATAGGTAAAATGAATCTCCATTTAAGTTAGAACTTTTTAATTATGTTCACAAAAATATAAATTTGCATGAATATCTGCAGTCTCTTTATAACGTATGATAGTTTTTGACGAGTTAAACTTTATATGAATTTTATATACGCATAACTCTTCAAATAATCATTTCCGCGCCCCAGAATCAATATTTTTGGATTCTATATATCAAAAACCATCGTATATTATAAAACTAATTACAAATTCTGCGTATTCCTAAACGAAGTTGAATCTAATTTTTTTAATAATAAAGATACTTACACTGGAAGAGTGTTATGAAATTCTGTAACGCAGTGCTTAATAAACATAACATACAAGGATTTAGTAATGATAGCTGCTAAGAGGGACCATCGAAGATCGAGAATATGGAATATATTACAAACTATAATTGCGTGTATTTCTTTAATTTGCAGTTTAACTAGTTACTTATTAGCGTTAAGTGCCATATCGTATTTTATTAGGATATGAATATATTCTTGTAAAAAATTAGATTTTATTTTTTTTATAAATATCTTCAGTAAGAAAAACTGTATTACAGTTAAATATTTATTATGTTACAACTGTAAATAATTTAGGAGGACACGAACGAAAGCAGCTATGTAAGAAAGATTAAACCAGCGACGAATTAACAAATTTATGCTTGAAAAATTGTAATTTGCAATTGCACAAATAAATAATTTATTGTAAGCTGACCTAACTTTTATTCTTCATCCATTAATCAAAAACAGTCTTTGAAACTGTTACAAATTATGCGTTATGTTACAAATTATATTGATGTATTACAACAAAAAGACATAAAAAATTTCCGTACAAAGCTGCAGCACGTACTCAGAAGCCCGGCTAGCTCAGTCGGTAGAGCATGAGACTCTTAATCTCAGGGTCGTGGGTTCGAGCCCCACGTTGGGCGAATATATTTTTTTTATTTTTCTATGATAAATAACAATATTTTTTATAAAACAAAAGAATAAGTGAATACATAACTCGCGAAATTGTAACGTACCATTTTCATCTTAAACGTATTATCAATTATTTTGATAGATTACCTACATAGAGTGACTCATGAGCTATTATATCTTTTATATTTAAATAAAATAAATGTATTTAACTAATCTAAAATCCGAATGATCTATCTGTTTAAAGAAATGTTTTTTGTTAAAAAAAATATATAAAATGTAAAAAAAAGTCAGTACACACTATCATTCCTTCTAACATTGTACTTCCTAGCAGAGCGTGGTTTCGATCCACGGACCTCTGGGTTATGGGCCCAGCACGCTTCCACTGCGCCACTCTGCTCTTGCGATGCTTGTTCCTCATTTTACAATTCCATCTTCATATTAACTTTATTTTAAAAAAGCATTTTTTTATTATATGTTAATAATAGTATAGAGGGTTTAGAACTTAATTTACTCTGTTATTATGCAGTACAAAATTATCAGAATTACAATAATTATAAGAAATAACTAAAATGAATGTAAAAAAAGAAAAGATACTTCTCTGTTAACTGGGACGATTTCGAGTAAAGCATGTGTAGATTCAGCAAAATAAAGCGCAGTTGCGTTTACGCTAACTGACCCACATTCACTACAATTTGCAATCTTGCGAATAATTTTACGAATTATGCTTTTGCAAATTATGCGAAACGAGTGCTTTAAAAAAAAAGGCGGTTCATTACGAAATGCGTGTAATTACGTTTACAATCTGATAAATACATTAGAGTTATCATATTTATTTAACTTAAATAATATATTGGCATCTGCTAACTAATATTATTTAAATGTCGTAAGGAGACCCGCTAAAAGCTATTCATATGTAAAGTATTTTTATGTGAATCCAATTAATTTATTATAAATTTTATACACATTTGAGCATCAATAGAAAACTTAATTTTAAATCTAATTCCACTATATAAGATATACATGTAAATATATATTAATGAAAATGTAATATTCAATTTATTTCTTTACATTGAAAAAGGTCATGTCCAAATTTTTACGAAACATATAGCGAAAAAATTCCCAGTCAGCACTCAACAATATCATACGTTCGTCGCGATGACCTCAAATAGAATTCACGCGACATGGGATCCCTATAAAAATGAAATTCGATTGAACGAGCCTCAATCGAAGTTTCTAAATTATGAAGGAAACAACAATGAAGTTCAACACGTGCCTCTTGTTCGTTTTGGTGGGTGTCACTTTAATCCACGCCGGACCAGCACGCAAGGCCATTGAGAAGAAATCACTGGCAGAAGATACGAAGATAGAGACCACCAAGGAAGACCTGAAAATTGAAGAAAATGATGAACAGAAGGGTAGGACGAAGAAAGCTGCATTCTGTCTACAAATAGATCCAACATCACCGCAGATTGCTTTGAGCGATAATCTTGTTCAGAATATTCCACTGACGGTGCAGGCTCAGTCCGTTCCTCAGCCATTCCAAGCTCTGAACTACATTCAACCTGCTCCTCAAAATTTACCTCAAGCGAATATAGTCGTTCCTCAACAAATGATCCAGCCAACTTTCCAATCTCTACCTCAAATGGTCCTTCCTCAGCCAATGATCCAACCGATTCACACTGTACAAATTGTTCAACCTTCTTCTCAACCGTGTTCTGCAAGCCAGTCTACCCAACAGACTGAAGTCCCCCAGACAGTTCCAAAGCCAGAACCAACTCCATCACCTGAAATAGAAGTTGAAACTGTCACAGAGAAGTCAAAACCTATGCGTATTGAGAAGTATCCACAACCTTTACCAGTACTCCAGGAAACTTACACTGTGGTGCCTTACGTCCCTACATATCAAGAACAGTTGATGTTTATCTCTGAACCTGAACATGCCACTTATGTTCAAGTTCCTTACACTCATCTCCATGGACCACTGACTGAGTGTACTTGTCAGAACATTGAACCAATGGCTATGAACATGATGCCAATGCCTATCATGCCCTATACATCAACGTTTCAACATAGATCATCTTTAATGATGCCTCATATTCATGGAAGTGTAAGTAGTAAATAGCAAACAATGAAATGATTGTTTAATATGATAATTAATATGTGTTAATTGATTACAGAATGTAAAAACAGCACTACAAGGTAAAACAAGAACTGTTATCAACATGAATGTTCCACCTTATGGTTACGATCATCATCTTCACGGAGCTCTAAACTTTAGAGGAATACACCATATGCATCCAGAGATTTCTCTAGCAAGGAAACACGATCTTCTTGGCAGTCCAGTTGCTTCTGAAACACATGATCTGCTACAGATCAATAAAACACCCCGTGAAGCTGATTCCAGTCACTTGTTACCAGAAAAGGAAGCAGAGACCAAGCAGGAAGAAGGCAAAGCTATGTTGATCGACGGTCGACGCAATGCAAGAAGTAGCAAAGAGGACACAAAGAAGCAGGAAAAGCAAATAATTAGAACTTAAAACATTTATACAGGATGTAAACAAATTCATTGTATTTTTTATTTTTATATCTTTCAAATCTTCAATCTATATGTGTGAAAGTATATAATTAATAAAATGGACTTTTAAAATCAGAAAGTTTTTGTTCTTATACCTTTGTAGACAATTATTTATTTTTATTTAAACATTTGAACAGTAAACTAATGAAGAAGTTTTGGTACAAACATTTTTGCACATACTGTTTAGGTAAATAAAGTCATCTCTAGGTATAATAACTAAGTCCTTTGAAGGGGATTTTTGCAAATATTTCTGTAATACTGATGTGCTTAGCTGCATCCATGAACATTTGCATAAAGTAGTATTTTTTGTGCTTTTTCTTCCGTTTGGATCTAATTTCAAACAAAAGATCATTATGAATTATATACCACCTTAGTGATATACATAATGTAAATTTGTTATTTCATATTACCAATAAGTTTAAAATCTTCTTCTAAGATATCATTATTAATATTAAACCACCTTGAGATATCTTCCTTGGTCATAGAATTTACTTGTTTTAAGATATGTTCAATATTCTTCATAGGATCAGAAGGAGATACAATTTTATTTAAAACTGATTTATTTATAGACCAGTCACTACTTTCATCTCCCTTACACTTACAACAAGTGCAAGTATCTGGATGGTCAGCTCCTTTACATTGTTTATCGTAATAGGGATCTAAAAAAATTCTTAATCAAATCGTTTCTCATTAAAGAAAACAGAAAACAGTTATTTGATTACCCTCGCATTTGAAGCAATAACAACATTTACAGTCTCTTGCATGATCTGTGCCTAGTGCTGTAGAAGTGAAGGTTACAGCCGACTAAAACAGAGTAGTTTTTAATAAATTTATCATAAAAAATAATTATAAGAAAATCGTACATGTTGCAATTTAAATTCAGTTGCAATCGAATATGTATATTTATAATATTTTCTAATAGAACGTCTTGTTGGAGGAATAGTCCTTGGTGGTTGTGAAGAAAGATGATAGGGAACATCATGATAGTCTTTTTTGCAACAATCTTCTTCATATCTTGCAAAATACCACCAAAGATCCACTTTATATGGTCTGACATCTATATTTTTCTGATCCAACACTTGAGATATCAACATTCGTTTAACTATCTATAAATGATTATGACATATAAATTATTCTGACCATTACATACTTTTACAAGTACCTTTGCAGCTTGATGACCAATGCAATTGCCAAATACCCTTAACTGTCTCAACAAAGGAGTTTTCTTCAGCGTGTATAAGATATTCACTATTCCATCATCAGTGATTTTATTATGTGAAATATCGAGAAACAGAAGTTTCGAAAAAGGAATAGCACAACTCAAACTCCTAAAGATAACTACAATTAAAAGAAATACTTATTCTTGGAAAAAAACTTTTCTGTAGTTAAATAAATACCTTGCACCATGATCAGTTATGATATTCTTACACAAAATTAGGGTTTTTAAGGCTGGTCTCTTTGTCAACCATGCAGAGATATGATCAATACCATGATCACCAATATTGTTACAGCCTAAATCCAACAAATGCAATGAATCATTGTGTTTTGCATTGGACATCATGATTTCAATATTATGGCAACTAAAGTTGTATTTTTGTAAATGTAATGCTCTCAGGGTAGTATTATACTGTAAAAAAAATCTTGATTAAAATAAGAAAATTTAAGAAAGCTAGAAATATTAAATTACTTTAAGCATGTGACCAATGACATCTGCAAAATGAGCAGAATCAAAATAATACATGCACCCCGGATTTGGTCCACTGATGTCTAAACTTTTTAAAGTTTTATTAGAGACTTCTTGGTCTGAGCTCAAAACCATCATGAAATATATTAAATCAGAAGCTGTCTGATTTACATCTGCAATATTTAAACTGCACATATGTTTATTTTCTAATAAAAAGAGTGCTATATTTTTTGTATTCTGTAAGAATTAATTAATTGAATTTTGATTAATAAATTGGAATCGTAAAATATTCATATATTTATTTATTTACATAAAAAATATCTTTTACCTGGTCAACAAATTTATTTGCTCTCAAATTAAGATTTCTAAGTTCTAAATTCTTTGCACATTCAAGCATGTAATCAATTCCATAGTTGGCAATATTATTATTTTGAACATCCAATTCTTGAATATTTTTATATAACTGATAGTAAGAATTGTGTTCAGAATACATATATTAATAATAATTCTTTTTTTAAAAGATATTTAACCTTACAAGAAGATGATCAAGCAAATTTATGAAACCAGTATCTGAGATATTATTGCTGGCCAAATTAAGATGAGTGATATCTTGATTTTCCTTCAAAAAAATTAATAAAACCGGGATGTCTATGTCTTGAAGATGTCTCCTACAATTGTATAGAAAATATGAAATTTAATTGGATAATTAGAAAAAATTTAAATGATAATTTCTATTTTTACTAACCCAAGTTTCTCATATACAAGAGGTCCACGCATATTAAGTATTTTCTCTGTACTGCAAATTGTTTTGCAGAAGCATTTGAAGAAACATAATGAGATTTGATGAAAATAAGGAGGTTTTACACTCTCCAATACATTAAATACATTAACTTTTCCACAATCTGTGCACGAGAGTGGACACTGATATTTATTGAATTTCATGATTCAATTCTAATACCTACTAATTTTTCAGAGAAAAGTTTCTTAAAAATTACGTTTACATATATATAGTAAAGATGGTAGTTGAAATGTTTATACTTCAGGTGAAGCCATTCATTGTGTTCCTATTCGAAAAAAATTTTGCAACAAGTCATCATCACATTATAATTTGTAAAAAATGACAGATGATTTTTTTCTCAAGAAAAAGAATGAATCAGAAATTGTTCCACTAGATGAAATGTTCAGGGGTAAATATAAAAAAATACAATATTCTTTGAGCTCAGTATCCATATCAAAATAAAACATAACAATTACGATATGGATATTTATTTTATAATTAGCATATTGTGAAATGGACCAAATTTCTTTTGAGCAAAACGTTGATCTATTACCATTATCACAAAGTGACAAATGGTTAATTTCTGCTCGTATACTCGATATGGTTACGTTAACGAATACAGACACTGGTCTTGCCTTTTTCAAATTTCGCAAAAGGGCTCTGACCTTTGAAGAATACTTATCATATTTAAAAATCTTGGCGGAATCTAAAAACTTAGACTTTGAAGAAATGAAATATAAAATGCAGATATGCGGGAAGCCCAAAAAAGCTACTTAATTACATCTACAAATACTAAATACAAGCTTTATTCTTTAACAATGGTTTACAGTATTGAAATTTGCACACATCATTTGTAAAATTAAGTCTGTCTGAATTATTATCTTGTAATGAATTGATTTGTTGAAAATATTTATAAAAAACAATATTTTTATCTTGATATTTGATTTCTCTCGTTGCTTCATTTTGCACGAGACTTTCGAACTCAAAAAGCAATGTCTTGTTTAATTTATAAAACCCATTTAAAAATTATCATGTGTCAATACAGTCGTAGTATCCCACAGTGAGCGTTAAAAGAATTATTTAGAACACAGAGCAAACTACTTTTGAGTTGAAAGATTGCCCTCTATGCATGTTAAACAATAAGTTCTTTTATCGATTTATTTATTTCTGACAAATAAGATGAATACAATAAAATTGCCAAAAATAAATAAGTTTTACAATACTTTCTAATATCGTTTAATTACAAGGCACGCCAATCACACAAAAATCACCATATCTTCTCGATAACATCCGATGGTCTTTTTTTACAGCGAAATAATCTATACAATCACAAATGTGACTCTTTCGTGCCTCTTACAGTATCAAAAATAAATTAATATAAGGAAAGACAACTGAGGAACGTATTAACGATAATATATGATAAAATCAAATATATAAAATTATTTCAGTGATTTTCATTTCAACCGATAAATAACAGAACAGCTGTGTCCTTCGATATGCAGGCGTTAAAATACTTCTTTCTTATTATTTTTCATTCTCTTCGCGGAAAAGTATATTATACATTCTGCTGTATCCATTTTAAAGCAGTTCTAATGTTGCCAAGCGTTACTCTACCAAGGAAACTAGCGATTAATTGATATTCCGGCATGGTACGTCTTCCACAAGATTTTGTGGAAAATGATCTATTATAAGAATTCTTTTTTCTGTCTTCCTGGACATTCTCATTTTCCAGTACTTCTGGTAGTTGTAACATGGAATTTCGCCCTTCGCAAAGTACTTTTGTAGTTAAGCACAGAAGCCATTGCATAATCTACAAAAAATATAAAAATATAATGGAGTTCATATAAATTTAAAAATTAATTTAGGAATGTAAAAATAATACTTCATTAGTTGATGGCAATTTCCATTCGCTCCTAAACCATGTGCTCGGTGCCCATAAGTGCAATTGTACTATGGTTGCTGCAGTTTCCGCGTCGAGTCTCTGAAATACAAATATCGCTAAAAATATCGTATATATACTTCAAAAGTAACATGGCTCAAACAGATTTTTCAGGAAAAGTGAGAAAATATCTAGAAGTTTACAAAAAATATTATATTATATATAAATATTAAACTATATAACATTCAGCTAAACGCGGACTTTAGGAAACAATGAGTAAATATTAGTTTGTAATCTTCCTTCCATGGTTTTGATATTTATTTAACACAGGACTGAATTATTTTGAGTAGTGACACACTTTTAAAATACATATGCAATATATTCAGTTGTAAATACCTTATATAAGCTCCTCGACAATAAATTCTTAATGAGTGCAGAAATAATAGTTGGCATATGGTTAGGCAGAGGTTGCAGATCTGTCTCTTTATAATTGTGATTTTTAAGAGAAGTCCCTTCCATGTCACTATGGAACGGATTTTTCATACCAAATATTTCATATGCTATGGTCCCAACTGTCCAAAGATCAGCTTTTGTGTAATTGATACTGGTAAATGGACCAGGTTCTGCTGTAATTACTTCCGGCGCCATTAGAGCTGCATTCCCGCCTTTGTCAATATCATGAGTGTTGTAAGGCAGGTACAACCCATGACGTTTATCCGCTAGGCAACATCCAAAATCTGTGATTACCAACGATGGGCAATTCTCTGCTTCTTCTGACAAGTCTAACAGAATATTATCACTCTTCAGGTCACTGCATTTTTAGAACAAAAATGGTATATATGAAACATGATATAATCTGAAACATAATACAACGACATTCTGATCAAACAAACAATATTAGTTTACCGGTGTGCAATACCATGTACATTCAAATGAGTTACACCCTCCAGTAATTGAGCCAGCAGTAGTATTGATTCCCTCATATTCAAGTTGTGATTGCTCAAATATTGTTTCAACGTAGTGTCATATCTGCAATTGAAAAAAAAGGAACAGTTAAATTATCTGAGATTCTAATCCTGAGAGAATTATCTGAGATTCTAATTTTATGAAAATTATGTAACATTTTAATTTTGCGAATCATGCGAGAGAGAATCGAAAAGTTATTTCTTGGAATATCAGAAACCTTTTCATTAACAGAAATAGGCTCATGTTTCTTCCAGATCCCTGAGGGTTGATGCGTGCGGGTAATGCATCCGGATACATTCTCCAAGAACCAGGTAACACTGGTACTCTATCAGCAAAGACATAATACATCGCTACGACATTTGGATGCGGAGGCAGCTTGGTTTTCCTCTCGACCATTTTCATTTCCCAGTCAGCTAATTCCTCGTTTTGTAAATATTTTCTGGCTGGTACAGTTTCCCGATACATGGACCTCAGAATAGACAACGCATTCGATTCGGTATCATAATTGAACATCATTTTTAATGCCAATGGAAATGAAGTTATATCTTTTGTTTTATCGTCGATGTTTATCTGGTTTTCAGTACTTGGAGAATCGTTAAATCTTGCCGAGTAAACAACCGCAGAGCATCCTTTCGCGATTGCAGGGCCAATTATAAAGTCTTTTAAACTAACAACTTTCTCTTCGTTTTCGATTGTTTCATAATTTTTGTCATTTTGTGGCGTGTTCCATTGCAATTTTGATACAGATTCCTGTAAATATTTTTAATATGTAAAGTTTTTCTTAAGTTTTCTTCATCAAATGAATATAAAAATAAACTGTTATTTACCCGAATTTCCCAGCAGACTCCTTCCAATTCATCTTCTTTTGTTAATATTCCAGTGCCAGATGCCAATGACACACCAACCAAAGCAAAAAAAGGAGCTGAGTCTCCACCAAAGACCAATCTACTAGCAGCTCTTCTACGCAAGTCAGCAGCTAAACTATTAGTGACTCGCTTCAAGATGTTATCTACAAAGATTCGTCGAGCATGGGCCCCCAAATAACCAAGATGTTTTCCTGTGCTGGACACATTGCTATTACCCTGGGGCAACCAGCCCTGGGACTTGCCTATTTTAAAATTGACAAAGGTAAAGCTTTAACTTTTCTATATACATTCCAAAATTTTGATATTTCATCTATTTCATCTATACAACCTAATCCCACAATGACACACTGTTCTTTTGGACTATAATACAATTTGCCAAAATTTTCTTTTTCTAATTCATGTTCTTTTTTAGGATACAAATTTAGTTCATATCTTCATATCGAATTTACCTAAGTTAATCCATAGTTAGTCAATATAAAAATTTTGTATAGAACAGAGACAATCATAGAAAATAAATAATTATTTAGGGGATTCAACAGCCAATCATTGTAAGTCAGTCTTCCATAAAAAATAATTTGCACCTTGTAAATGTCTTTATAGCACCAAAACTTTTAATTAACAATTATAATAACTATATAATAAAAATTATAATAACTAAATTAGAAAATGTATTATGATGATTAAATTGAACTGGATCGAAAGTTTCTATAACGACAGGATATAAATGAAAATCTGACTTACACTGATTGACTTCTAAATTATCCATTTATTTATTTACACAGAAAAATTTTCTAAAAAGCTCTGGTATATGGATAAGTTTTAAACCTTCCTGAGGTCATGTATATGCTCAGAAACAACAGTAATTCTATATAGATGGAACAATACCACTACCCAAAAGATGGCAGAAGATTATTGAATAGAATAGTGCATATTTGATTTAATTATATTATTGCAAGATATTAAAATACAGTTTATAACTCATACTAGAAAGTATTTAAGACTTATCCGTCAAACCAATACATGTATATGATGGTTAAATAACCTCAAAACTGGAAATATACTGAAACGTAATTAACATAACTTCTAATATGAAATACAATATACATATACAAAGATACCTAAATTGTCAAAAAAATATGTTGAATCAATCAACAGTTTCTGTTTTGGTTACTAACTGTGTCAAGGTCCTTTGACAACAGTCGACCATCCTGCAGGAATAAATTTCTCGAAGGAACTCACCTACTTGCACAACGTGTATCTTGTCGTGATAGTTCCTTTGATGGAAATTAGAGTAGAAGCACTCGGTATTTCTGAATGAATGCAGTAGAGCCCGACCATTTTGTACGAAACGATGGACTGCTGTCCGAATCGACATCTCTCCGCGCTTTTGGGCCGAGAGAGCCCAGCGGGCTAGCTCCCAAGGAAAGTAAACCTTCACCACTGAAGGCAGACTCGTTGTTATTAATTTGATCCTTTTTTAAAGATCCTCGATTAACTGCGTAGACAAGAATTGAACAATTTCAGCAAAATCACCCCTTTCCCCTACCGCTGTCGCTTTCGCACTGCGCTGCCGAACTCTATCGGAGTATCACAGAACACGTAATTACGGAACCGTGAACAGCCATATGTCATGAGAAAGAGCATAAATTAAAATAAAAATAAAAAATAAATGTTGAGAAGGAATTTAATATATTTGTAATTTTTATATGTAAATGCAGAAATATTTGCAGTCTAGTAATAATCTGTATATTTATTTAGTAAATATAGAATTTTTACGTACACTTAAATATTTGCAGAAATATTTGTAGTTTAGTAGTAATCGATGCGTTTATTTTTAAGATAAATTGTATTTGGAGAACGTTATGCGATTTGTACAGTTATCTGACTTTGGATCTGATAACGTGCGGAAGAAACGCATTAAATGTGTTCACTATGTGCATGGCGCAAGTTCAATTTAGAATTACTCACGCTTCAATTTTATCTAAGCCAATGATATAATTGTATTTCCTCCAATAGGAAAAATAAATTGCGATTGAAGAACGGTGAACTTGATAAACTGCTTTGATCATGTTTATTTCATATAGTCAATTATGTACATTTTTAGTTTAACTAATTAATGACATTAATGAATATATACTCTCTTCAAACTTAACCCTGTAATAACACTATACAGGAAATATCCGTGAAATGAATTAATGATATCTATAAGCCCTGCCATAATTGTATACCGCTCTACTATCAATTGGATTGCAAGTGAAAAGAGCATCTCCACGAGTCCCATCCGGGCAAGTACACACCGCGATATGCCGCCTGGGTGTGCAAGTAGCTGATGGTCCACACTCTTTCCCAGTGCAAGGATTTTGGCAAGAGTAGTCAATGCACGCCTTATTATCTGGACATTCGCTGTCAGTGAAGCATTCTCCACGTTGACAACTAGTTAGAGCGTTCCCTATATATCCTGAAGGACACGTGCATATTGGTCTTTCCTTCCCAGTGTTGTCATGGCCAGGAGTACATATTGCATTGGTTCCACAAGGATTAGGTTCGCACAGATCTCCTATGGATATTAATAAATTTAATCATGTATCAATTCATATACATTTGCTAAATTTGCTTCAATAAATTTGCAATTCATATAAATTTGTTTCAAAAAGTTGAAGTAAACCTTGAAGAGTTTGAGTTTAAATATTTTTAGTTTGGTAGTGGAGGTCTGAGATATTAACCTTGATTTTTTTGGAACACTGTACACGATTAAGTTTACTTACGTGCTTCGAATAATCTACAGCTAACGAAAGGATTGCCAGTCATGTGTTTTGGGCAACTACAAACTGGAGTTATGCCTCGCACATTGCAATCTGCATTCACACCACATACTCCGTCACAAGGGTTCACGCATTTCTGATTTAGACAAGCTGGTTTGTTCCCTGAACACTCTAAGTGCGTGGTACATTCCGGACGACAGGCTACGAACGCATTTCCCAACCAGTTCTACAATTTTGCAAAAAAAGTAGTGTTACAAATGACAAAAATTCTAATTGTAAATATAAATCTTTCTTAATTTTCGTTATACATTGATCATTGAATAAAAAATAATCTGAAATTTTTCGAACAATACTCACAGTTGGACAACTACACATGGCTTGATGATTAATAACGTGACATTCCGCATTCTCACCGCATTGGCATGGATTTTCACATCTGAAATTAGACGAGCAGGCAAGATGATTCGGGCATTCACTGTCACTTTCGCACTCGTGGCGGCAACCAGTTAAAGGAGATCCTCTATAACCCGGAAGGCAACTGCAAACAGGAACCTCATTCACTACCTCGCATTTGGTATTAGCTCCACAAGGACTCGGCTTGCAGGCAGCCTCTAAAAAAGTTTCATTAATATTTAAGTCACACTTGTCTCGAAGGATATTCTGTTTCATGTATACCAAATACTGAGTGACGCAAAAGTAGGATTAATCTAAAATTTAAAACTTCTACAAAACAATTACTAACCGATATTCTCGAAAAAAATATTTTTTACACTACAGTCGCTTGTAGACATACAAGTTTTCCATCAATATTAATTTCTTTTTAAATCTTTAAACTTATATTTCATAACTTTTGTGATGTTTATAGTAGGAGTATAGTTTTATATGCATAGAAACATATACGAAAGTATTACTTACGAGGGTCAGCTACACGGCAAGAAGTGAAAGGATCTCCCGTGTGCCCCGTAGGACAATAACACGTTGGAATGTGATTTTTGGTTTTGCATAACGCGTTCACGCCACATAGACCATCGCAGGCATCTATACATCTGTTATTAGTACATACTCTGCTTCCAATGCAATCCTCATTAACTAGAAATTAGGTACATAATTAAAAATCTTTTTTGATATACTTAAACATTCAAATCTTTTATATAGACACTCACTTAAACATTCCACCCTGGTACAGCGAGAAAGAGGGTCCCCCATGTGCAAATTCATACAAGAACAAACTGGTCTGCCTTCGCTAACAGTACATCTTGCATTAACTCCACAAGTATACGTTTCGCAGCCTAAAAAATATTAAGATACTTTAACGAAACAATCTATAAATTATTTAGCTTGACTTACCAATATTGTCAGGTGACAATATCTTGGAATGATAATATCCACCGTTAGTGATTGCGAATAGCGAAAGAAGAAGTAAAACTGCGGTCTGTAAGTATTTCATTTTTTTAGTAGCCTGAAAAAGACATTTTCATTAAATTTTCAAAACTATGATGAATTCATTTAATTCATAGGTATAGTTAAAAAAATATTACCTCGAACGAAGAGTGACCGTGTTTGAAGACCGAACCAGGTGAAGTAACAGGTTCTCAATGAATGTGGAGATGAGCGTGAGTTTGAATACGAGGAAAACCCCACCTCCTACAACCTTCAGTCCCAGTTTGAATTTTGCCTACGCGTGCCCCTGACGATCCTTCGATGGGTCTCGCCTACGCTAGACCACTTCCAATGTAAATTACTTCAGAAGATCATCTTTTTCTTCGAGTAAGCAAAGAAACACTCCGAAAAATATTATTTCAAGTTCATCCAACATAATCGGGAGCTATTTACTTTGCTAATTAACGAGGTGCAAGAAAAACAATCAGCAACGACTCCATCTTTATCCTAATAAAAATGACATATTTCCTTTTTATTTTTATTGGTACATGATATATCTCGTTACAAAATTTTCTTCTAATCAAATATAAATATATCGATCGTATAAATTAATAAATAACATCCTAACAAATTGCGGTAGAGTTCGATGCTTTAATTACATAATAAATCAACTATTCTTTTTTTAATAGATCGACTTTCATTGGTCGGAATGTAGACTCAATGACGGGATAAATATATTCGAAAAAAGCACCGTGTTACAGATTAAATACAGAGAGCGTGAGTAATCGCACTGCAAATCTACTGTTCGATGGGCAATCATCCTTTCGCGCCAAAAATGGACCTGCCAGTGTCGATGGTTCCACGTGCACATTACGATCATCGACGCAAAGGTCGTTATATGCGTAATCGTTTTAAAAAATCAGATTAAAAAATCGAACTCTCAAAGGTCGTCGAATTAAAAATCACTCGTAAGTTATAAAACTGTATTATGCAAACAAGGAAAGACTATAAACATATCTGCCCAATTATGATACCTGCAAGAAAATTAGTTAGATACCAAAATTCTCTTAATAATAATCGTAATAGACTCTCAAAATGATGAAGACAATGATTAATATTTTACCTTATTTGTTTGGCTGATTTATTACAATAATTTAAATAACTTAATAATAAACTTGTATATCATAGACAAATAGATTATACCGTCTTTCGTCCTAGGAACAAACTTTTGCAATATTCATTGCTAAATTTAAGAAACTGTGTGCACGATTATAAATGTGATACATGAGTTTAAAAAAAAGAAAACAATTTATTATAGATGTCTGCGCGAAAAATTATAATTGAAACGATATGGTTTCCTAGAGTATATTCGTAAATAAAAACTCGAGACTAATCTATCCGATGATCTATTGTACAAATGAAAAAAAAGCTTCCGGCATACCATTCGATTTAGTCTGCGCTTCGTTTTACATTATAAAAATTTTCGGACGAAATTTAGGAAACCACCCTCATAGTATGCAACTATGAGACGAAATTACACAATAATGACTTATAGTAGGTAACCATCGTCGTGTGTCCCCGATTATTTTTTTGTCTGATTTTTAATCTGCTTCGGAAGATTCTTCAGAAACTCTTCGTATGCTGCATCCATGTCCTCGTCCTCCGACATCCATGGTTCTTCACCTTCGTATCCCTGTTCCGATATGCTGTAAAAGTATTCATACGGTAAGGGACAAAAGTATTCGTACAGTCGGAATATAGAAATAAAATGAACAATATTTTTTACATTACTAAATATATTCAAATATTATCAATAATGCCAATATTTGTGTACATTTATTATACAATTTACAATTTATCATATAATTCAATTATTTATAAATGTCTATTATAATATACAATTGCATATGTTTGGATATATTTAATTATATAGAAAATATAAATCTTTTTATTTCCATATTCCAACTGTGGGAATACTTGTGTCTTTCACTGCATATATAAAGTGACTGTGAATCTGTATCTATGTGTGTGTATTGAAACAAAACTTGAATTACAGGCAGCTACAAGTCACATAACTAAATTAAGAGCATTAGATTGTAATTAATTCATCATGGTAAATTAATACACCATGGAATATATAAAAAGTTTAGAATTAACTCCATAACAGAAGAAATAGTATGTCAGAGTTACAAGATAAAACAATCACTCCAGCGACCTAACCAGAGAATTGTATGCAGTAGTAAATTTACCTAGAAAACTACACAATACTGCTAAAGAAAATATATATATAACATTTGATTAATTATATGTACATACATGTGGTCTTCTATGTTCATTGTGCTATCGGCAACTTCTTCTAAGAATTTATTTTCCTCCGGGGTTAATAGCTTGCCGTCAGGACCGTATAAAACTGGTTCATCGATGGCCTGGTTGGGATCTAATGGCTCTATTGACTCCACTGTCGTGGAATTATCAGAACTCTGACCCCAGTTTCCGTTTCTCAATTCGTGGACACTATGTACCATATGTCCTATGTGTGAATCCACTCTACCTTCCGTTACAATTTCCGTTAGAGCTCGCATCATGTTCTCCATCTCTTTGCGTCGACATTCAACTTTATCCTTTTCTAAAGTTTGTCCTGCCAACTGTAAACCATATTGGAAAAATTAACACAATGAATTCAAGAAAATTCTTGGATTCTAGATTTCTTACACATGTTTCTTTTTCACATGTTATATACCTTAAGCGCTTGGCAGATGTTCTTGACAGAATTCGGCGCAGGATTTTTTAATATAATAATAATAAACTGAATTAATAAGTTTCCTAAAGTAAACGCAGAAGCGTGATCCATTTGAGTAACCAATTCAGCTAGAAGTAATATCAACCCATGACACTTCTTCTGTTCTTCCTCTGTGTGATTCTCCTTCTGCTGCCAGTTGGAAGCTTGACTGTCTGTTTCACTTTTACACCTGTTGCCAACTTGCACTTATTAAATCGAAAATTTAAATACTTCATTAGCATTTAATAACTCACAAAGTATACAAAGTCCATCTGAAAGACGTCTGTTCTATGGGAGTCAAACTATTGTCCAAAGAGGCGCAAAGTCGAGCACCACTGTACCGGAAATTACCCTCATTTATAGACTAGAAATAATTTCATGCATCAATACAACTTTCTTTTCAATTAATGAAAAAAGAACAAGAATATACCTGTTGAATTATTATCTTCATAATTTCTTGAAATTGACTAGGAATTAGTAAATAAGGCCTAAGATTATTTATGAGCGGTGGCACGATCAAAGTGAAATGCCCTGGATTTAATATCAACGAATGTATAACACTCATTAAATTCTGTGTTATGTTTGCAAATTCAATTAAATAATTATCGTCTTCTATATTCGAGTCCTATTAATAAACAATAAATAAATTAAATTAAATTAATTATTTGACTTCTATTAATTTTCGTAACATATTTTCAAAGTATGAACCTGATGTTTGTCTCTGTAATCTCCTGAACCATCATCAAAACGACCATAATCTTGCATATTTGATCGCTGATCCTGCTCCTGCTGTTGATGTTGTAAAAGGTTATCAAACTGTTGAACTTGCTCTGCTTGCTGATAATGTCGAGAAGTATCATAATTATACGCAGGATTTTGCTGCATTTGTGCATGGAGAGGTATTTCACGTGCCATTTGTAACCTATCTTGAACTGAGTGTTTATGTATATATATCTGTTGTTGATGACGCTGTACCATCAAACAAATACAAACATTTTTCACAGTTACTCCAATCAAATAACCAATGTAACCAATAGAAAATAAACACTACCTGCTTAGCAGGATATGACTTTGGAACAAACTCAGCTGCATGAACGGACAATGTAGAGTTCTGGATAATATCATCGAAAGACTTATCCAATTTGCCCTGTTCCATGCTTCTTGATTCTACTGACCCTATAGTTAAAAAGCCACAACCGTAAAGCAATAAAATATAAAGAAATCCAGCATAAATAGCACGACAACTTTGAAGAAGTCTTCTCATAAATCATAGCAACCTGTTTGCATTCCAGATGTAGAATGATGGGGTCTCCTTAAAATGGGGATATCCTGAGGGCTGGAAGTCCACGGACCCCTACCACGACCACGTCCGGTTCCACGTCGTTCCACGTCCCCGTCTCCACTTCCATCACCTACCAAAGAATTCATGCTTTCCCCGGCTAAAATTTTCTTGACTATGTGGTCACTTTGAGGTTATATTAAACGACGACGATGGCACCGTACGGTGTGGGGAACCGTACCCGTAGTAAGATTCGAGACGCACACTTGGTGGTCGTGCGTATTTTACCACATAAGTTCAGTAATTCCGCTGAGTCCGTTAGGTCCGTTATTCACAATAAAACGCGTGCCGCCTCATAAACAGAACATCAAAAGTCGGCCTAACAAATTTATCCACAGCAAATCCCTCTTGTAATCGACTACGATCGATGGTAAACGCGAGAAGTTGGTTAATATCTCACCATCCGCTCTTCAAATTGGAACTATGTACTAACCAAACGTGAGGAATAAAATATGAAAAAAAAAGAGGAATTTGATAAAAAGAAAAATCTTTGTACTCATTTTATATATAATTTCTTATCTTTAATAAAATTCGAGTTATATTTAGTCTCATTAAATCACTTGTGATATAGAATATTTTTGAACGATATTTAGAGAATAAATCGTGTAATAGGTCTGACAAATAACAATTTCACGAAAAAGGAGCGAAATTCGCCCTAAATAATTCTTCGAATTTGATAGGAAAAAAAGGAATTATTTTTAGTATCGTTAATTAATTAATCAATTTGATAGAATAAAATTATGAGTATCGAGTATAATGAATGCCATCCTTTGGATATTTTATATACTTTTTTATGTCATATACATTTTGTGCTTCTGGCAATTTTTAATTTACTGTAAATGTATAAATGTACATAGTGTACTTTATGCAAATTTAAATTTTTATGAACATGAAAAAGGAAATAGAACCTTAGAAAAGATTTGTTTTACTCGCTGAATATTAGAACAAATACTCTACTTCAGATATTTTATATATTTTTTGTATATTATATGCGTTTTGTGCATGTTCGCAGTTTTGAATTTCCTATAAATGTATAAGAATCCATAATCTAGTTTATGCAAATTAAAATTTTTAGAAACACAACTAAAGAAGTAGAACCTAAGAAGAGATTTGTTCCCCTCCGTAAACATTATAACAAATGCCATGCTTTAAATATTTTATACATTTTTTTACATTTCTCATAAATGCATAAAAATACGTAGACATCTTTCAAAAAATCTCACATTTGGTATGCCACAGATATAGTTTAGAAAAAATGCCTGTCTCGCTAGTTTTCCATTAGCCTCGGCGATCACTCGAAAGAGGCGCCTTCGACTAGCCCCCGAGTTATGAGGTTACGATCGTTGACACGGACGCAGATTGATATCGAAATGAACCTTCGTGGTCCTTGCTAATGATGTTGTCGAATACGAGAAATCGTCGCCGAGTTCTTTCGTACGCGTTCGTCTCGTTGCATTTACTCGCTATTCGAGATTCACCAAGCTACGTGAAAAATCACACGCGTGCATATGATTCATAAAATATATTGTACTAGGTTTGACCGTTTCAGGTACGTGCGTATGCTTGCAACCCGAATGTATACGATTTCCAATTGTTTCTTTCCTTTTTCAAAAACATGCAATTTATCTTATTGCAATGACACACTGGAATTTTCCATGCACCGAGCGAAGTTTCCTATACAAATGAATAAATAACGATTTCTTTCATAAGTTTCTATTCTCTAAAAAATTTGAGTAATGACATATATAATTTGAAAAGTATGGTAAAAAAATATGAGTTGCATTCTGAACAATAATAAATTTAAATTAGTGTAACATATTATTTAACTGCTTCAAAATATAATGTGTTATTGCAGATTTAAAATTTCATAAAAATGAATTGAGTGTAGAGAAACTACAATTATATGATAGGATTCTTCAATGCAATGAATATTTAATCTTGCATGATGAATGTATATTCTTTATAAAACAACTTGCATTTTATTAATTTTTTAAAGGGTCACATATAGTATCACGTGTACTTGGAGATGTTAGAAGTTGGCTTGAGGGTAGTTCGTGGACAGGATTGGAAGTGGGATGACCAAGATGGTGGAGAAGGTCATGCAGGAACAGTCGTAGAAATTGGCAAACCTCCCTCTTTTGGCAACTCTGCTTCCAGTCCAAATCCATCAGATAGGACACCAGATAAAACTGTCATTGTTCAATGGGACCATGGATCCAGAAGCAATTATAGAATTGGATACCAGGGAGCTTATGACCTTTTGGTATTCGATAATGCAGCCACAGGAGTTAAGCATGCAAATATCATATGTGATGGATGTAAAAGACATGGGATAATTGGTATTAGATGGAAATGCATGCAATGTTGTGACTATGATTTATGTACTCAGTGCTACATGGCTGAAGTACATGATCTGAGCCATTGTTTTGAAAGATATCAAACAGCCAACTCCGTGGGGTAAGTTTTTTCAAGATTACATTCTTATTTGATTAGATATACAAGCCACCTTATAAACTTAATTATTTGATATATAGAGTTCAATTGAATCCCAGAGAAGGCTGCACCAAGATTCCTTTAAAAGGAATATTTATAGGGGCCAAAGTTATTCGCGGTCCTGATTGGGAATGGGGAAATCAAGATGGAGGAAGAGGTATCACATATTTATGCTTATAACTACATTGTGAATGTTTATGCACTGTTAGGAAATTTGAAAGTGCAAAGATACACAGTAACATGCAGAAATATATAAAATATTCAAAGCATGATATTCATTATGATATTCAGTACCTAAACCAATTTTCTTCCTAGATTCCATTTTTCTAATTATCTTTGTAAAAATATGAATTTGCATAAATATCCACATTTGTATAAATATGTATTCATAACAACATTGTAATAAGGAAATCTTAGATACACAATATATTTGGCACTTAGGAAAAACTGGCAGAGTCATGGATATACGTGGATGGGATAACGAAAGTAGTCGTTCAGTGGCCACTGTATCATGGTCTAAAGGCAGCACAAACGTTTACCGACTCGGGTACAAGGGTTGCGTAGATTTATGTTATGTGGAGGAAGCTATGGCTGGCACATACTATAAGGAGCACCTCCCACTCCTTGGACAACCGATAATGACTGTACCGGACAACGGAGCCAACGTAACCCCGACAAGGAATGGTGTTCCTTTTGCTGTATCTAGTCCACGCCACTCAACTTTCAACGTTGGGGACAAAATAAAAGTATTGGTTGCAGTAGAGACACTCAAAGAGATGCAAGAAGGTCACGGTGGTTGGAATCCACGCATGGCCGAATATATAGGAAAGATTGGCAGAGTTCACCGTATCACAGATAAGGGAGATATACGTGTACAATTTGAGGGGTGCAACAACAGATGGACGTTTCACCCGGGCGCATTAACAAAAGTCACCAGCAAAGACAGTTTTTCTTTAGGCGACATAGTTAGAGTGAAAACCGACTTATCCGCGGTTAAACTCTATCAACGAGGTCATGGAGAATGGATAGACGTGATGAAAAATGTAAGTTTATTGATTTTCTAATAGTCACTAAACTTTATAGTAAGAATATTTGTAGGCTCTAGGAAAAACCGGAAAAGTAATCAAAATATATTCTGACGGAGATTTAAGAGTAGCTTTAGATGGTCATACATGGACGTTCAATCCTTTAAGCGTCACATCCGTTCCTCCTGGAACTGAAACTGTTGCTCTACAGGATGAAGCAAATAGAAGTCGAGATTGGACAAGTACACTTCCATTAATCACAGATTATTTAAATATATGCATATGTATAAGTATTGTCAATTTATTATTGCTTATATAGCTGAAGGTGTGGACACAGAGGTTGAAAAATTATTAAGAGATGCAGCCAGAGGTGAGGCTGGAGTCTCTGCAGTTCAAGAATTTCTCAAAAAGTATCCTGGTAGAGTAGATGCGAGAGCTGGCGGCCCAGGAGGTGGTAAAAAGACCTGTCTTCAAGTGGCGGCTCATCAAGGACAAAAAGATCTCTGTATTCTTCTCCTGGATGCTGGAGCTTCTTTACGAGCTGTAGACGAGGACGGAGACACGCCTCTTCACTATGCTGCTTTTGGGTTTGTTCCGAAATCAATTCAATCTAAAATAATCATATAAATTTCAAAATTATATTTTTAAGAGTTTTCTTGTTTCATATCATAGCAATCAACCGGAAATAATGGAGCTACTTCTATCACGTGGCGCAGCAATTAACGCTGTGAACAATGGGAAATGTAGCGCGCTGCACGTTGCCGTGAACAAACAACACGCTCAGTGTGTTAAAGTATTATTACGTCACCATTGCGACGTTAATCTGCAAGACTCGTACGGAGACACAGCATTGCACGATGCCATCGGGAAAGATGCTCTGGATATAATCGATGCTCTTTGTTCGTGCGATAGGGTGGATTTCACCTTGAGAAACAAACGAGGCTTCAATGTGTTACATCATGCTGCCTTGAAGGGTAATGCTCAGTAAGTATACTCGATTTTTCAGCAACGAAACTTCTGGAGACTTAATTACGAAAGTATATGTGCATCCTTTGGTACAGTGCAACAGAAAGATTAGTGGCACGAGCAAGACATCTTGTAGATGTTAAAAAAGAAGATGGTTTTGCGGCATTGCATCTTGCAGCTTTGAACGGCCATAAAGACGTAGCCGCCATGCTTCTTTCTCCGACTGGTGGAAATGCGAAAGTAGATTTGCGGAACAATCGCCGACAGACCCCTTTGCATCTTGCCACTTCGCAAGGACATTGGGCTTTAGTGGAGTTTCTTGTACATCATAATGCTGACATTGCTAGCACGGATGCAGATGGAGATACGGTGCTACATATTGCTATAGTGAAGAGTCCCAATCAGAGTAACGTGGTTCCTACGCCTGAAAGTTGTCGGGATTCTCCCCTTATCTACGCGGTATGTTATGTTTCCTAGATTAATAATTATTAATAGGTTTCCCACTATCTATTTAAGTTCTATAGATTATTAATTATTAATTATTAATACATTTCTCACAATCCATTATTATTTGAGTTTTTTCCTTTCTAATTTTCTTCTTATTAGTTACGTTATTCGAACAATGCTTACTATAGATATGGCAAAATTTGGCTCGCCAAGGCGCGAAGACAGAACTCACGTTAGCTTGTTTCCTAGTAAGTGTGGACAGGAGTTGTACACTACTGAAACATGTGAAGAATTCAAAGAACAAGACGCCATTGGATCTTCTCGAAGCTGATTCCCAATTAGCCCCGCATACCGACTTGCTACGGTGTTACCAATACCAAAGTCAGAGTACTCAATTAGAGTAAGTAACTTGATGATTGATTATGAGATTGTATAACATATATACAAATCTAATTTATTTTTATATGAACTTGTTACAGAATAGAAAATAATCCTGCTTCTCAGCCTTCCATATATCAGATAGACACAGCGTTACAATCGGAAGTCGTGCGTGGAACGAGAAAATGTATTCCAGGTTCTGGTGACGCTTCTGAATGTCACAGTTGCTTAGGTATAGTGACAAACGCGATGAAAGATGGAAATAGATTTAATCCGGGCAGCAGTGTTGTTATCAATTGTGCACAATGTGGTCATGGAATTGCCAAAACGAAAGCTAATCAAGGTACTCTATATAAATATTATCTTCAACTCATTAAGGATCAAGTAATATGTTAATATGATCAAGTAATAATGTTATATTAACTTCAATTTCTTTAAATTTCATAAAATTGTAGAATTCAGGTTGAGGAAACATCATAATGCTAAAAATAAATAAATAAATAAATAAATTTAAAAAATAATAATGATATGTTCTATATTCCTATAAAAGTTATTAATTTACTATTTTGTGATTTGTTATAGATGGTCAAGCAACGGGAGATATTCCTTTAACGAAACAGGAAGAGAATGTGAAAGATAATGTATTGGATGAGAGGAAGAAGGAAGAGGATCATCAGGGTAAGGAAAGAGAGAAAGATAAGGATTTAGAACGTTTGCGTTATTTGGAAACAAGAGTGGCCGATCTGGAGGAAGCTAATATGTGTAGCATTTGCATGGAACGCCGTCGAAATGTCGCCTTCTTATGTGGTCATGGGGCCTGCGAGCATTGCGCTGCTCCTTTGAAAACCTGTCACATGTGTCGCAAAGTTATTACGAAAAAGATTAATTTGTATTAGACAATCAAGTTGGAAACGTTTGTTCGCCCTCTAGACTATTTTGCTTCCTAATATTCGTACGTTAAATACGTGATATTATTGGCATGTAAAATGAAATACTGAATTACAACTGCCAAAATATACAATATCCCCTTTTTTAAATAAAATATGTTTAATCAAGTCTCCATAACCGCACCAATGTTGTGCCATAAATAAAAATAAAATTTGGAAGTCATGTGGGTGAGTGTCACATTTACAGTTTTTTCTTGTCGAATTTGTAGTTATTTTCAACAAAATAATCACGTGCTTCTCTTTCTCAGATTACAAACGACACTTTGCCCGTTGTATCCCGTCCATTTTTTATCATTAGTTAAAAATAAGCATTTTGTAAAAACCTCCTTCTTCTGTACTATAGATATGGAATCAAACCATCATTGAGCATTCCAAAAAGTTCATAGAAATAGGATACATATCCTCTACACTTCTGATGAATATTTTGGGATTCTCTTTTTTGTTAATAATACATATTTGACTGAATAACAACACAACGCCATTAAGTATAATGGAGATTCATGTAAATGAACTTGCAAATTTTCATACATATCGTAAATACTTTTCCATAATATACAATGTATATTATTATTAATTGTAGAGAGTATGTACTGTTTCTATTATTTTGTATGTAATGTTGATGTGACATTAGTAGTAGTATGAAAATTTAGTACACACACACACATACGTACACACATTATATATATATAATTTTATATATATATATATATATAAAATATATATATATATATATAAAAGTCGATATCAAAGGATATTGCTTCTAGCCAAAATTAATATAAAAAATTATACTTATTAATTTATAAAGTCCTTTTGTGATTATATGAATAATAAAATGAGAATAATAAAGATTAATTGACAAAGGTAGCTGTCCATTGTAAAACATGTGCCACTAATAATACTGAATAGAACAAATCGTTTTATAGAACAAAAGTATATTGATAATATTTATACGAAAAAATCCTCTCAAAGAATGTGCGATACTATTGCTAAAGTTGGCATATCATTACTTCTGATTAAACTATAGTGGTCCAAGCGCAGAACTCCTTAGATATATAACCATAAAAATATACCATTGTACCAATTATACATTTTACAGATTTCTTCAAAGAAACGACACAATTTCTATATCATCATTGCATTTTAGAAATTTAATTTGGGACTTTACAGCTGACATAACATTTGTATTAATAATTCAATTTACTAAAAAAGAAAACAATAATTTTCCTTCTCTCTTTTTTTATAATAATAGTTGTATTGTCACGAAGTCTGTGTTGCGCGTAACTACAATTCATTATATTATATAAACTATGATAGCGTAGCTTTTTAAGCGTCGATAATAAATTTCTACAATTTTACGTGATTCAAGACATTATTTAAATAAACAATTTCAAAATGAATAACTTTAATCAATTTAATATTTTCCTTCTTCAAGGCTTTTCTTAAATCATATTTATATATAGTCTTACAAACTAAAACGAAACATATATTTCCAAAAAACACGTTTTAACTTAGAAATTAATAATAATCAATATAATAAATGTAGAACAAAACAGCATCGGCGATTCCTTTCCTTTTTTTCTTTACACAGGCAATAAACAATGATAACAATAATAACAAACACTCAACAGATGATGCCACATTCAAACAAGACTTAAAGATGGACTTCGTTCATTTTTTTTCTTAGTTTAGCAAGCAATCTTATTTATTTTGGTACTCGATAAAATTCAATAATCATATGTTACAATATTGAGCCAGTTTTTAAAACTGTAGCGATAGTAATGATAATAATATAATAATAGTAATATTTTTTTCTCCTAAGTAACTTAAACGCAATACGCTATTCTTTATCAGATATTATTATATTATTTAGTACCTAGTGAAACTTAAATGAATTCTGGCCGGAGCCATGCGATAGGATTATCTAATTCTAACTATAGGACCATTTATCCACGTGCTTCGAGTTCTTTCTTCCTTTTCTTCCTTTCTCGTTTGTCGAGAGCGATGATATTTATGACGATACTTGAACAGTGTAAGCAATCAAGCTTACGAGTCGACATTTTCAAGTTAAAAATCCAGTCCATTCTCGTTTTTATATTCATCAGAACTGATATGAAATTATCGAAGTATGAACTAGTTGATCCATATTATACGTTAGATTTTATGGATACGTTAACTACGAGGAATCGATGTCACTTTCCAAAGATACTTTTCTATTCCACAGAGACATATAAATCAGAGAAAGAACATTTTTTTCATTGTATGTTGAACTATTTCTAGCTATTCGTCGATAACGAGAAGTTTCTATGAATACATGGGTGACATCATATAAAGTGCACTTCTTGCATAAAGGTATATTTTGATACGGTTCAACCAGTTCATCGACAGACTTAAATATGTTTTTTCCGAGAGAAAAAAAAAAGAGAAAGAATTCTTCCTTCTTCTTGCACTAAGTTCCGAAGTTCTCGTTATTATGAGTAAACAGTTGTAACATTGCTTTTGTAACAGTCTTCCCTGCGATTCGTGAAAGTATATGAGTTTAAAATTGTCTACTCGTGTCTACTAAATTTGAGTATACGCCGATGCCGACAGGAATTAATAATCAATGATCAAAGTGACGACCTTCTTTTTACTCCCCTAGATTTCTATCGACAAAATTCTTCTAGCGAATTATTTTTCTTCCCCCTTTTCCATAGAGAATTCCACAGCTCCATTCGTTTGCCGATTTTCTCTGTATGTGCTGTCGCACCGTCAAGTGCAATTATTGTCAGCTATGATCAAGTCCTGAGTAATAGCCAAAACAATTCTTTAATATGATTTAATTACTTTTTATCTCTTTCATCTCTAATAAATATAGCATCAAACTTTCCAGCAGAGACGTACACATGTTTTCTGTGAAACTTCTATTTAATAATTTCTATACCGTGCCTAACATTGCACGTCCTTCCATTATACAATATTGCTAAGTTTTTTCTTTCGTTCGAGTTTTGTCATTGACAGGATTCTTTTAAAAGCTCAAACATTTCGATAGTATATTTGGACTGGAGGTACGCGTATTATATGCAATACTGAAAATTATGCATGTAGAATGTCACAAGTGCACAATTATAGCATACAGCTTTTCCCAACGGTCTCTCAGTTTTCATTGCAGTATTTCATTTATACCGCGAAGACGACCGCGGTACTTCCAATCCGTTCAATCCGTCCAATCCGTCGTTTTAAACGCATTTAAAATAACTCGAGATATTTCATCTTTTTTTCTCTGTCGCGTAAACAAAAAGAGTAAACTTTCGCTAATGTAGTACGTTTGTTGAAACGGAAATTCTTCCTGGCGAAAGGAAGCGTATACGCGGTGAGAAGTGATAGTTTTGCCCACTTATCCTTGAATAAATCAGTGCGCTAGTTAAAAACTGAATTTGCATTATACAATTACTACTCTTCGTATTGATCGATTGACAGGTTCAAGCTACGACCGGTTCAGGACTGCAAGGTTGCAGCTCGGGTTCGTTTTGAGGTTCTGTTGTATTTGTGGTGGCGGTACTGGCCGTGTTTGGATCATGATTTGGATCTGGATCTGGTGTTACCGCCGCCCACTGTGTGGTATATGGTGCAGCTCCTGCCTGTCTTCTGGCTTTTCTCTTTGCACGTCGTTGTTCCATCACTAAGCGCAGACGTCTCATCTTTCCCTTAGTTGCTTCATTCTCCTTTGACAATTCCTCTATAATTATAAATAATAAAGTTACAGATCTACTTTTCCTTAATGTGTTATAGTCGATTTGTTTACCCTTTGAGTGTTTAGTAAAATAATTAGATATAGTTGAGAAAGATGTTAATTTTTCTTACTATACAATTATTTCTAATATCTTTGAATTAATATTTTTAAATATAGAATTTATGTTTTAATTTCTCTTAGACAAACGAATCAGTAAGTATTTCTTGGTATTGAGTTTCTGAGGTCACACTTTTGCAGAGAAACAACAAAGATTATACACAGATGGAATAATGGATTTATAATTTAATAATTTTCTTAATTTTCATTTTAATAATGAAATTATTGAACAAAATTGTATTATTGCAAGATGTCAGAACAAAGCTTATAATTTATGTTAGTAAATGTTTAAACCTTATTTGATAACCCAATATTTCATTGTTTACCTATTTTTTTTTCCTCAGTTTAATAGTAAGATTTCTATAAAATATTTTTGCATGAACTAAAAATTGAACTAAAAATTCATGTGCTTCTGCATATTTCATATGTCCATACTACATATGGATTAAACACTCAAAGGGTTAAGCTGGATTTCTAGAGTACCAGTAGAGTAACCAGGATTGGAGGAATCATGACAACCAACAAGGGGTGTTGGGGCACCATTTATTGTGGTTGTCGTTCCAGTTGAGGACGGAGAAGTTGAAGACTGCTGGCGATTGCTAGAGTGCCTGTGATGGTGCCTATAATGACCTGCAGTAGCAGCTGGTGTGGCACATAGCAAATCATTAAGAATGTGAATGATGGTACTTATATCTCTTTTAGGACGTCCGTGTCTATCTTGAAGAGCTGGATTTAAGGTCCCACTAAATGTACCAGAGTATACACCCTTTCCATGATGATGCATACTCTCTATTATTGCACCTTGCCTGCGTCTTGCATTTTCCTATGTTCCAAAAATTGTATGTGGTTACTCACTGCATTAATAATTTAATAAAAAATATTAATATTAATTTCACTGTGTGTTTCACATTACTTAGAATTTACACTGTATGCATTCGATTACAAAAAGACCATAGAATTGCAAAAATAGAAAAAAAACTGATATTCTTCTAATCACAAAATAAACAAAGCAAGAAGAAAACACATTTAAGAACCTAAGAGAGTCTCTAAAAAATGCGCTTTACAATATATTTTTTATATTTATTATTATTTAAAAAAACACAAAGACGTTTGGTGGTTTATT